TATATACATATATATGTATATATATATATATTATATATACAGTATATATACACCGATCAGCTATAACATTATCACCAGCTAATATTGAGTAGGTCCCCATTTTGCCCCAAAACCGCCCTGACCCATTGAGGCATAGACTCCACTACACTAGACCTCTGAAGGTATGCTTCTGGTATCTGGCACCAAGCCATCTGTAGCAGATCCTGTAAGCAAGTCCTGTAAGTTGCGAGGCAAGGCCTTCATGGATCAGACATGTTTTTACAGCACATTCCACAGATGCTTAATTGAAATGAGATCTGGAGAAGTTGGAGGTCACTTCAACACCTCGGACTTGTTGTTGTGGTCCTCAAACCATTCTTGAACCATTTTTGCTGTGTGGCAGGGTGCATTATCCTGCTGAAAGAGGCCACTGCCATCAGGTAATACCATTTCCATGAAGGGGTGTAATTGGTTAGCAACAATGTTTATGTAGGTGGTACATGTTAAAATAACAGCCACATGAAGGGGAAGACCCAAGGTTTTCCCAGCAGAACATTGCCCAAAGCATCACACTGCCTCAGCCGACTTGCCTTCTTCCCTTAGTGCATCCTGGTGCTATCTCTTCCCCAGGTAAGCGACACACACACACACCCAGCCATCCACATAATATAAAAGAAAATATGGTTCATCAGACCAGATCACCTTCTTCCATTGCTCCGTGGTCCAGTTCTGATGCTCATGTGCCCATTGTAGGCACTTTTGGTGGGGGATATGGGTCAGCATGGGCACCCTGACCGGTCTGTGGCTACGCAGCTCCATACACAACAAACTATGATGAACTGTGTGCTCAGACACCTTTCTATCAGAACCAGCATTAACTTTTCAGCAATTTAAGCTACTATAGCTCTTTTATTGGATAGCACTACACGGGCCAGCCTTCACTCCCCATGTGCATCAATTGTAGTTAAAAAATATTTAAGATATTGGTTTAAAAATAATCAGATAAAAAAATAAAAGTGGCCTAAAATTATTATACTTTCCATTTAAATGGGAGAAGGAAAAGCACTGCTTAACAATCATTAATTTGTGAGACTGTTGAGTAATTTTCCAGATGACAATATACCTCTGTGAGATTAATCCCATGTGACATGATGCGATAGCACTAAAAAGCCATTTTGTCTCCAGGACATTTTCTTCCATCTCTGACAGGAAAAATGGCCTGTGCAGTCCTAGGTTTATATTTGCAGAACTGATCTCTGCAGTGTTGTGCGTCTTTTCTAATTTTGGAAATTGACATTGAAATGAACAACAGAGCAAATTCTGCAAAAATGTGTTTGATTTGTACCAAACGAAAACAGACCTTTTTTCATGTTCATTGCATACATACTAATTACTATTTAAAGTGTATGTCTAGGCAAAGCTATTTTCTTTTCTTTTGGATTGCCTGGGGCAAAGGTTGTCTGTGTTCCCATTGGGGAGATTCACCCTTTTCTCTTTGTCCTGCTGACCATTGTCTCGAAGAAAGAAAGTGAGGGGAAATCAAAATTATTAGAGTTGTCTCCAATGTGGTAAGGTGAAGCCATGCAATGGGAATAACATCCAAGAGGGGAATTCTCCTTACTTTGGGAGATTTTATCTGTCTCCTGTTGTGTCTCTGGGACAGGAAGTGAAGGGAAATTTCCCCAATGGTACGCAGACAGCAAAAAATTAACTCATGGGAGTCCCTAGTCTATCCAATTTTTTTTTAATTTTTTTTAAGTGTCAGCTATACATGCAGTTTAAGTGTAATAGAGCTAATGTAATGTAATGTAAGTATTTATTACCTCTCAATGAGATTGCAGTACTCCTCCTGACAGTGTCTAAATGTACTTTCTCCCAGAAGGCCAGCTCCATCTTCATTAAGGCATCATCCAGGGTTTGCATACACCACTCTTGCCCACAGATAATACAATCATGTAAATCCTGCCATCTGTGCAGTAACCTTTAGCCCCGATTCCCACCTGAGCATTTTTTAGCTTGAAGCTCAAAGCTACAAAATGCTCAACAACCAAAATATCATGCTTTTAAATTTTGCCTGTTAACATATGAGCACTCAGACACCTGTACATTAATGCCTGAACCTCAGAAAGGTACTTGAACTACTTTTGAAGCAGAATGTGGAGTTTTTGGTTCCATAGAGTTTAATGGATGTGCCTAAAAAATGCTTTAAAATGTCTGAAAATCAGTGTTTTCAAAGCCAAACCCCCATCTCTTACTCCTAGTATCTTGCTAAAACAAAAACGCTTAGGGCCTGCTCACACTAATTCCAGTATATTCCAGCACGCTTAGCTGCTGGAACACACTGGATCACATACCGTAACGCTCCCTGCATTCTGTGGCATTAGGGGGTATGGCGATGTAAGGCTCCCTGCATTCTGGGGCCGGAGGGGGCATTCCAGTGCATTCAAGTCAATCGCTCTGCAGCCACACCCCCGGCCCGCAGAGCAATTACTTGCACCAGAATGCGTTGCACAGCAATGTACAAGCACTATTTTTTGCAAATGCACCAGACATGAATGCTGGCATTGCTGTGCCATGCATTTTGGTGCAGGCGATCGCACTGCGGGCAGGGGGCATGGCTGCGGTGCCATTGACTTGAATGCACTGCCATGCCCTCTCCTGCCCCAGAATGCAGGGAGCCTTGCAGTATGCAATCCAGTGCATTCCTGCAGCTAACTGTGCTGGAACGTACTGGAATTGGTGTGAATGGGCATGAATATACCTCAACAAATTGTCTGTAGATGCTCAAGTGTGAATGCAGCCTTATACACTTGCTTGGTTGTACACATGTTGTTTTGAAACAGTTGAGCTTTTCTGCTGCTGCCTCTCAGAAAGTTATAATGTCATACATTCCCAGTGAATAAGAGAGAGAAGACTGTGGCACATTTAAAATGAAGTGAGGACTCATTTTTAATGTAAGGTGCAGTTTTATACTATGGCTGTATATTTTAAGGTATGTGCAGCACAGTTACTGGCATCAGACCTCCTATGTAAAAAGGTTCTGTTCTGCAATTGCTTCTACCCCATACATGGTTAGAATGCTGAGTTACTGCGGTACAATTGATTAAATCATGCAGCTATCTCTTTTCTCTGAAATAAGAATGAGGGATTAGGGATTATCATTGTATTAATGTAGGATATAGGTATGTATGAGTGATGCCTACTGGGTTAAGGAGCATTTGTTTGGCAATTTCTTGAAAAGAGAGTTCATTCTGAAGAATTACTATTGTACCATACAAACATAGGTTCCTCCAAGAGGACTCAAACCAAGTTAAAATTGCATAACGGTTGATTTTTGATACACACAGTATAATTTGTATGACACCCTATGTTTTCTGTCTCACATTGCAGAATGAATCTGAGCAACAACGATATTCTGACCATTTATGATGGAGATGAAATTACATCAAAGATTTTGGGACAGTACGTTGGAACCAGTGGCCCTCAGAAACTCTACTCCTCATCCCCCGACCTCTCAATTCAGTTTCATTCTGATCCAGCGGGGATGATCTTTGGGAAAGGACAAGGATTTATTTTGAATTATATAGGTGAGCAGCTCTCTTTATGATTGAAACAGCAGACTAGAAGACTGCTCAGTGAATGAGGTTATAAAAGTTGATATCTGGCCATACAACCTCACTCCTGACTTGAGTATAGTGATCATCAGTGAATAATGCTGCTATGAACAAATAACTGTCACTGATGTCTTCAGCCTACAAAGCTTTTATTATCTATAAAATATAGGACATGTCTCAGTAGTTCAGCTTGATTGTCCATGTTATTTTACATTCATAGACAAAACCTCACAACACATCCTGCAGTGAATACTGTGGTGTGGTTGGTGACAAATGCAAGGTATATATATATATATATATTATATATTGTTTGCATTCTATAAAAGTCATTTGCTTTTTATACACGGGTCAAAACCAATTTTGGCACATTGATTGCAATAGTTGTTCTAAGCTGACTTTTACTTGCCGAATTCAAAGAAGCATTTCAGAATTTCTGCATTAAGGGGCCCATACACCTTAAAATTATCTGCAGATTGTCTGTGGTCAGATGGAAAAAGGGCAACAGATTCTCAAAACACCTGAACAATGCTGTTCAGGTATTTTGACAGCCAGCGGAGCCGACTAGCAAGATACTGAAGCTTGGCCCAGTGGGAGATCACTCCATCCACACATTCCTCCATCTTAGCGTAGATGGAGGAATCTCCATCTGACCACAAAAATCTGCATATAATTGTAAAGTGTGTGGCCAGCTTTAAGGCTTTTTTTTGTGACTGCATCTTCATTATTCTGTTCAATTAGTGACCTTACAGTACCATACTTTCACTATAATTTCATATCTGCAACATATTGAGAAAAATCTAGTTGTTATTATTGTTCTCTAGCATAAATATACAAAATAAAAATTAATAACTATAAATGGAAAATCTGAAGGCGGTTGTACTTCTGCTCGGCTTGCAGATTGAATATACAAAGCACTGTTTGTTTGTTTGTTTTTTGTTTTTTTGAGTCGCACAGTAGGAACAAGAAAAAAACATTACATTAAGAAAGAATGGCCAAAACATACCTCATTTGTACAGGAGAGAAGAATGTGATAAACACTCCACTGGTCAACCTTGAAAAGTTTACCTTCCTCTTTTGCATATCAAACTTGGATTTATGAAAAACTTTGTTGAAACGTGGGATAAAACAGGAACAGCATTTATGTACTTGAGAAATAAATCTCCCAGGATAAGCGGTGCTAAGATTAAGGAAGGTAATTTTGTAGGTCCTCAGATAACAGAACTGATAACAGATAAAGTTGATGTAGAGTAAATTAAATTCAAAAGGCTGCATAAGAAAACATTTAAAAGTATCTGTAAAAAAAAAAAAATGAAAGCAGGAAATTATTGTAAACTAGCGAGTGACCTCCAGAAGTCGTACCAAATTATGGCATGTAACATTGAAACTTCCTTTTTTTTTAATGATCCTACTTCGATCTTTCCCTGAAAACAGTGTAGTCACTGATGTCTTCTCAGGACAAGTTTAAATAAGGAAAAGCAGCACCAAAGCAAGTGGAGTCCCAGTTTGCTGATTACAGCTGGATGCATAACTGAGATGGGTGTAATTCAGCAGAAAATCAAACACTGCTGTGATTTTAATTAACTTATAAATATATGCTATTATCAAAGTAAAGTTGTGTGTTATTCAAGAAGCCTGTCTAATAGAGAAACTCTAAAAAATATTTAAATTCAGCACAAAAACACTATGTGGTATATTTATAAAGAAGGGACTTTTACCAAACATTTACAGGTGGTGAATCAGTCACGGTCATTTAACGCATATGCACCTGAAGTTTATTTTTGGTGAATGTCAAATTCACTGCTTTATAAATGCCCCATGTATGTTATTCACCTTTCTTCTATGTGTGCCATTATTATGTATTTATTTATTTTTGGATGGATAGTGTTATTTGATCTGCTGTTCTCTCATTATTAGCAAAAATATAATAATTGGTAAAACAAGTGAATAACTAATCATCTGCTAACATTTTGCTTCTTGATCTGGCTCATGCCATAATTGTATTTATCTAAAACAAATTGCTAATTTTCAAAAGTATTTTTTTTATGCTGGAAGAGCACAGGGTCAAATTTTCCATTTTGTTTTTAAAGAAGAATGTTCTTACCCCTTGCAGTGTGGCTAACCCCACATTACAAGGGTTAAGTTTTAGGTGCCCTTTACAATATAAGGAAGACATTACAGTTACAATACAACTCAAGACAAGAGGGTTAGGAGGGCCCTGTCTGTGAGAGCCTGACAGTCTAAAAGTGAGGGGCAAGTGGTACAAGAGGTGGTAGCTGCATGGGGATGAATTGTTTGAGAAAGTGATAGTTCAGTGGTAAGGTTGAGGTGGGATAGGCTTCCTTAAAGAGATGAGTTTTCAGGGATCTTCTTAAGGCAGACAGAGTAGGAGATAGATGGACAGTTTGGGGTAGGGAGTTCCAGAGGATGGGAGAGATTCTAGAGAAGGCCTGGAGGTGAGCATGGCAGGAGTTACAAGGGAGCTAGAGAGCGGGAGGTCTTGGAAGTAGCAGAGAGGTCAGTTCGCCCTCGTTCACACCTGAACGTTTTGTAGCGCGTTCTACGCTCGACGAACGCTCTACAAAACGCTCAAACATCTAAATCCCATTGTATTCAATGGGTCTGGTTCACACCTTGGCGTATTTCAGCCCGTCCCTAATGCGCTACAAAAGGGTCCACGCCTGAAAAGGTACATGTACTACTTTGGGACGTTTTTGTTGCGCGTTTCCATTGGGATACAGCCAAGTACCCCTCGGAAACGCGCGTTTGTCGCGCGATTTTTTTTACTCAGTAAAAAAAACGCGCGACAGACGCGCATATCCAATACGCCTAGGTGTGAACCAGGGCTTAGGGTGATACTTTGAGACAATAGGTAAGATATAGCAAGGGGTAGAGTTGTGGTTGTTAATATTTTGAATTCCATCCTTTGGGTGATTGGAAGCAAGTGGAGGGATTGGCAGAGGTGGTTGAAGACACTGAGCAGTTGGTGAGGTGGATGAGTCTGCAACCAGAGCATTCATGATAGACTGAAGCCCCCCAGTAGAATTTGTATGGTGATTGGATATGGGGCTGAAAGGTCCAGGATAACAACTAGCATCTTGGCATAGTGCGAGAATGGTATGGTACAGCAATATTAATATTAATTTCTAACTGAAGGTCTCTATTTAACTGCAAGCCCTTGAATTTAAATAGCCACAACTTGTCTTGACAGCCTTAAATTAGGGGAGGAAGAAGCAGCATCACCAATGCTAGATGCCCACTTTAAAGCAATGCGTGTCTCCAATGTTCTATTCACTACTTCATCATGAAGATTTAAAAAATGCCCACCTAAAACAACATCAACATTGTGTAAACTTAGCAGGTGTAGAAATTACCTAACTTAACCAATATTAATCAACCAAGAGCAAAAATAATGTGCTATGTAGCCAGGCGCTTTTTAACAAAATAAATGAATGCTAAAATGTGCAGTGTTACTTAACAAGCTGCTGCTTATCCATAAAACCCCTAGCTCTGTTCCAATAAATGGCAGCTTCTTTCTGACTTGCCATGCCTTCATCTGCACTGTATCTTGCCTCGTATACATCTTAGTACAGGCAGGGTTTTGCTACCTCATGTCAGAGCTGCCTGGCTGGTGGTCTGATAACTAGTGGGGGGGATATTTAAGAAGCAGGAGAGGTGCAGACTGCACTCATCCATGGAATGAATGAAGCAGAGGCAGAGAGATGCTTACACTGCAGATCCTCAGGCACAGTTTCCTCACCGGTGACAAAAAAATACCTGTTGATCCTTCCAGAAACTTTTCTGCCAATAACATCCTGTGCTCTCTGCCTGTGCTACATGTTTATCTGTTACATTGTTCAGCTGTCTCCGAGGGCTGCTGAACCCCTTTCCCTCTATGTTGTGGAGAGGAGGAAGGGGTTGTTCTCTTCTGTTGTCCTGATACAGAACGGTGAGTGGGCATTGTCACCCAAGGAGTTGTGTTACTGGCATGATTACCAGGTAAAAATAAAAGATAGAAAATAAAAAAACGTATATAGCCACCAGGACTGGTAAGCTGCAATATATTGCATTAATTAGGGGGGATTTACCAGACAGAGCTTTATGCTCTGTCTGTTTAGCCTAGCTGTGATAAAAAATGGGTTTATATTTATACTTCAAAACTTTAACAAAGAAAATCAAGCCAGTGTCACATTTCTTGGACTCCGCTGTGATAGATAGATTTTAACTATGCTATATAGTTGCTTAAACTCGTTTTTATTTGAATTTCTTTTTAACTTAACAGCTGATCTCAAATCGTTGTTGATAGAAAAAATTCTGGATGCGTTTAAGTTCTACGATGTAAAGATGTGTTAACCACATGGTGTCCGTATATCTTTAGCTTTCTTTATTATTCACAGTTGAAGCTAATCTCAGCATTGCATAGATTTGAAAGGGTTAAGAAACTTTATTTCTGCTCATCTCAACTAGCGCTCCTGCAGTTAGTTTCATAGCTATCATTTCTTGCTGCTCTGTGAGATAAGATACCACTGTTTGTAAGACAGCCCTATTATTTGTATAGATTGGGCCAATTCAGCACCTGCTGAGATACAAAACTGTGCTACAACAAAAACAGAAAAAAATCAGAACAAAAAGGTTTACTCCTACTGTTTCAGAAATGTGCTCAAACAGCCAATGCAAATTTCATGGTACATCTGGGTAAAGCAAATACATGCATATTGTACTAATCATGTTGGCTTATTATGACTACATTTACACAGAGCTTATAGATTAGATCTATTTTACACTGCATTTACAAATATTCAAACACAAATATACTAAAAATTGAGTGTACATGCAGAAAATATATTTAATGGGAGATAGCTGCTGTTGACCACAACACAAAGGTGGATAACTGCTTTTGATAAAACACTAAACCAAACAGAATTTTAAAGTATATGTAAACTCAATTACTGAAGCGTCATAGAAGATTTAACATTTTATTGCAAACAAGTAATTTTTTATGTTTTTGAATTTGCATCTTTCCTTAAAATAATACCTGGTGATACTATTATCAAGGTCCTTGTTAAGGTAATTCCTGCTATAGGAGGGTGACAGTGGTCTGTCTCCATCTCCCAATTGTGTTCATATGTTGTCACCCTGACACACAGGAGTCTGATGGAGACTACAAGTGGCCGCTTAAACATACATTACAAATGCATGGTCCAAGGATGGTTTTCGACATCAGGAAACCCACACTAAAAATGATGCCATGAAACCATCATTGGAGTGTATGCATGTAGACAGGAAGTGGCAACAACAGTGCTTAGAAGCAGCAAAAGATGAAAAAAAAGTGGAATGCAAGTATTTTTATTTTTTAAGTAGTTGTTTATAATACAATTTGCTTCAACAAACTAAGGGGTCTATTCACTAAGCAGCCGAGGGATCTAGCTGTAGCTGCGGCCCCAGGACCCCTTCGGTTCAGTAGAACCGAAGGGCTGCTCTACGGGCTATTCACTATAGCCCTACAGCTCCCGAAGTCGGACGGGCGGCTCAGGCATATGCTTTGGCTTGACTGAGCCGAGGTAAAAGCCGAAGCTGGCCGAGCGGCTTTTATCCTGACACGGAGCCGTTGGCTGGCGTCAGAATAAAAACAAAATGTCACCATAGGAATGCATTGCTAGATTCCTACCAGTCCTTGGATGTCTTGGCTGCATTAGTTTTCTTTTTTTAGGCTTCTTTCCTTTTAGCTGGCAATCCAGTCAATAACACACCTCCTGTTCAGGAGTGAAAACACTCACTCACCATACTGTATCTACAGAGGAGTGTTGTCATTCTGGGACAGGACTATAGAACACCTGGCCTTCTTGTCTCCATAACTTGAAGGGTGGGTTGTATTTATCCAGCAGATATAACAAAACACCTCCAACAGTATATTTACCAGACCAAAAGGGAGAAGATAAGGGAAGACTATTGTTAGAGTGTATATGCACTTTACATACTCGATCAGTTTCAGAGGAAAATATAAGTTACGTTTTTTTCTAGGTGAATATAGCCTATGGTAAAAAAAATCACTCTGTTAGCAAATCAACCCCGCAATAATTCTTTTTACAATCAGCTTCTTTGTGTTATATATTTTAGAAGTGTCCAGGAATGATTCTTGCTCAGAACTACCTGAAATCCAGAATGGATGGAAGACTACATCTCACACAGATCTCATCAGAGGAGCCAAAATTACATATCAGTGTGATCCTGGATATGATATTGTGGGCAGTGAAACCCTGACCTGTCAGTGGGATCTAAGCTGGAGCAGCGACCCTCCGTTTTGTGAGAAAAGTAAGACACGCGCAGTTTTATTACTCCACTCTAGATCATTCCATGGCCTTCCTGAATCTTCAGCAATTGGTATTCATCTTCAGAAATCAACTTTTGTTTATCTGAGTCATTGCCTTGAATACATTATCCCTGTTGTGTGTTATCTGAGCATGGAGATACACTTTTAAATATCATTTAGATGGAAAAGATGTGCAAATCAGTGTTTGGGATGAATGCGTTAAGGATTGGAGGCATGTATTGGGTAAGGATTAGAAATTATGTCAGGTTTCTGGTGCTGTCTATGTCCACATTAAAGGAGAACTATGAGATGAGTGATTTCCACTCACCTCATAGTTCTAAGCCGACCTGTGACAATGAGACTGTCACAGGTCGGCTCAGTAGATCGGGAGGTGAGGGAACACATACCGGGTTCCCTCACCTCTCGATCCTGTCACGGCTCTCTGCCGTGACAGGGGGAGGGGCTGGATTCCCCTCTCCCCGCTCCGATCTGCCAGCGCTGACTGGCGGAACGGACGGGGGAGGGGGCGGGTACAGCTGGCTCTGCCTCTAGATAGGCAGAGCCAGCTGTCACTCACGCAGCTGGGCGGATCCCGTCAGCTACGTCGGGATCCGCTCCAGGTGCGGCGTCTCAGTATACCGCGAGCTGCAGCTCGCGGTATACTGAGCTTAGGCTAACGGGAGGATGCTAGTTTGTGTCCTCCCGTTACCCCAAGGAGAACTATTGGGAAAAACACTGACCCCATAGTTCTCCTTTAAGGAGATTCTATCATTTTGGCAGAATGATCAGAAAAAAAGATAAGAAAGATCATTAAAACTTTTACAGTTGTTGCTATAACAGAGTGGGAAAGTGGGGAATCTCTCAATGGCGACACCTGTTCTACCTAGAAGGTGATTTTATTACTCTTCCTGTTGTCACTTGGTGAGACAAGATGTGAGGGAGGGCAATAAAAACCTGGCAGATATTTTAATCCTTCCCCACGCTACCCAAAACTTTAAAAAAATTGTCTGGAGTCACACTTTTTGAGATCAACATGGATCATCTATGTTGATCTAAAAATAGTGGTAAAGTGCTAGTAAAGGTTTAATAGACCAGGGAGCCCAACATCAGATTATTACAGGGTTATTAATAAGATAAATATTTTTGCTCATAACATTTGCTAGTCTAGCCAATCCATAGTAAAGCACTTAAGGTACTTATACACAACAGGTGCATACCACCATAAGAATCACGGATAGGCCAGTGGATGAATCTCTATATGTGTAGAGCAGAATTTGAAAAGATCTTTGCCTAAATGCAAATTGCAATGGGACATTAGAAAAATAACTGCACACATTACCAGATGCAGCTATCAAACAATTGGATTTTCCACTCAGCCTAAGATCTTTTGACCTTTGATCTACAAAGATCCAGGGCAATTATTTGGAGTTTTGATATGTAGTATATCATCTCGAGCATGTGTGTTTAAAGGTTTATTATAAAAGTACTAATTCAGTAATGCTTTTCTTGGGTGTATGTTTCTAATATACCTCTAGTTTTGTGTGTAATTTATTTTATGCAAATCCGTGATGGTGCTGTAATTATTTTAGAATCCATTCGTCCACAACCTCTGCAGAGTAACACCACCAATGGCCATGAGAGGATGCCCTCCACCTGTATGTCTTTTAGATGTCATTTTGTCCAGCTTCCTGCATTAACTTTGATGCTTAGCTCAGTCAAATGTATTTGGCCTGAAAAAAAAGGGGTGGGTGAGGTACCAACAGACACTGTATGGCACTGGCTTATCTGTGATGAACCAGTGAGGATTAGACAAGGTATTTAACCTTTGAGGCCATAATTTCTCCTGTGCACCATTAAATGGCAATATCTAAGGTTAATGTGTAGATAGGAGATTGTCAACTGCATGAGTTGGGACACTGTCACCTCATGCTTATGGATACTTGTATGATAATAGTTAAAAAGCAATGGTATGTTGTACCTAATAGCAGCCAATCAGATTTCAGCTATTTAGTGTAGATAAATTATTGATATCTGTTTTCTGATACTACACAGTGCTCTTCTTTGCAGCATTGTGTTATTGAATAAGGGCTATAGTAATGTTTGCCTTTTTGCCTTGTCAATGTAATAAATTGCATGTATACATAGACTGTCATTAAGCACAATTGTTGAATGCTTTTAACATGAACATGAGCTTTCTATGCTGCTAGAAACATTCACAATAACACCATTCAAGCACTCCACCATACATGCTTTGTTGCATTGTAGTGTTAATGGGATGAGTTTTGTGCATGTGTGTGACAACAGGAGATAGTTGGGATGTTTATGCTATAAATCACATCCTTCCACCACTATACCCTGTTTGCAGGGTATAGTTGCTGAAAAAGGGGAAAGTGTCAGTGTGAATCTGTAGAAATAACTAGATCAGCTTTTATCAACTAGCCATAAGGACTCAAAAATTCTTGAATCCTGTAAAAGCACTCGAATAGGCTTTTATTCAAATAAACTGGTGTATGATAGGTCTGTACCCATAGGGATCATTTCTCCACCATGGATGAAATGTTTATGCTTATCTAATAATGATTACCATCTAAAACATTTCTGTATATTGTTCTAAGTAATATTACTTTGTTGCTTTGTCCTTATACTTTGTATCAAGAAAGGTATTATACATTAACAGGCACCATTTATTAAATAAAAACCTATGCATATGATTAGCGATATTTACCCCTTCTACTGGAGTTTGTTTTAAAATATATATCTCTAAAAACTCAGTTTGGTGTATTGATAAAATCTAGCTGTGCGGGAGGCAAAAATTAGTGGATGGCACCATTATTACAGAATAAAGTAGTAGTAGTTATTGGATGAACTTTGACAAATTTGGCAAGATTAGGCATTGACGGTTTAGCAGGCACTACATACAGCATAAGATATGGTGATGAAAGTATAACCACCTGGCAACAACTCTGAAAATTGTTTCAAAGCAGAAATTTTTCACATGGTAATCATTATTAGATAAGCATGGAAATCATTATTAGATAAGCATGGCATCATTCATGCCAGCCATATAAACATTTCATCCATGGTGGAGAAATGATCCCTCTAGGTACAGACCTATCATACACCAATTTGTATTTGTACACATTGTAGGCAGCAATTTACTTATCATAATCAGTAATGCCTATCATCATAATTTACTGCATGTCATATAAGTTGACTGTTCGGGTTATGCAAGTGTAATAAGTGGTTTGTGGTTTTGGCAAGCACACTTAAAAATGAAAAGGATGTTCAAAGCCAAAACAAAACTATGCCCTACTAGTAGCTCTGTACATACTCTGTTCTTGGAATGTATGTTCTGCTTGACGCCTGCAGACTACTGAAATCAGAAGGAATAATAAAAGGGAACACAAAATAAATGCAGTGAACAGACTGGGAAAGGTGAGGTTGAAGCAAAGGTTTAAATCAAACTGTTCCTAAAGAGTAATGGTTGATGACAGTGAAATTGATATTGACATCATGTATATGAGAGAATCCGTATGAATAGCCTTTCATTCATTTACTCATTTGTTTGTTTATCCATGTGCTCCTTTTTCTATCAAAGACCCAGTGACATGACTGACAACTTATTTTGTTTGAAATAACTCCTTCTTTTCTAATAAGTCATGTCAGAACTTTTAGTGATAGTGATTTTTTTTTCATTGAAAATTACAGGATGCAAATCCTCATTAAGCTGATGATAGCTCAGTCTAAAGGTCAATAGCAAATGTTCTAATCCTACCAGACATGTAGTACTTCTAAGAGAAGATATTCTTATCTAACGGGATCTCAGCCATGAAAAGCTCCCATTTGATGTTAGCCACAGACAGACAATCAGGACTGTGTAACACTTCTTCATCTTTGCTCTGTCTATCTACAACAGGGTGGACAAACTGTGGCCCTCCAGCTGTGGTGAAACTATACATTCCATTATGCCTCTGCCTCCGGAAGTCATGCCTCTGGCTGTTAGAATCTTGCAATGCCTTATGGGATTTGTAGTTTCACCACAGCTGGAGGGCCGAATTTGCCTACCCCTGAATACAGAATAGCCTAGTTAACATATATTGGCATTGGGATTGGGTGTTGGGCATATGACTAGTGTGGCCTATAGATGATTGTGTCTTCCATCTCAGCTATTGAATACCCCAGAAGATATTTGTGGACCTTGAAAGTCAGCAGCAAATCAGTTGGCTGTCTCTGCAACTAGTAATATGCATTATGGGCAACATAATGTGTATCTAAAGCTTAAACTTTTTTCTTAATTTTAGTTTTGGATAAAGTGGTCAGGGTTAGAACCTTTATCAGGTTTGTATTGTATCTATCCATGCTAGGGAGATTCACCTTCTCAGTTTGTTTTGGGACCATCACTGGGAAAGGGCAGGAAATTCCAAAATCTTGAGTTGGCGCCAGAACAGAAATGGAAGGATAATTTTCTGATAGAGACATCTGCCCAATGAGATATAGGATTTCCTGCACGTTGGAGAGATCTCCTCTTATTTTCTATTGTGTTTAAAGAACAGCAAGTGAAGGGAAGCAAATACACTTTACTTTTTCTTTGGTATAAAATGGCTGATAACACTGCATAAACAACTGCATGAAAAAGTAACTACAATGATAAATATTTTACATTGTTAATAGATATAGAGGTGTGTGCATTCATTTTTGTCTGTATGATAGGGTTGTAGTTTGTTTTTATGTTATTGATCAACATAATTTTAGCTGCTTTGTGTTCCAAAGGAAATGATGCGCTTGTTAAATTGTTGTGATAACATATTAACTAGATGTATATGTTTCATTTTCTTGCATCTTGTATGTTAACACCTCCTTAATAATGCATAACATAATAACAGTTTGTTTAATTCCTTATGTGCATTAGCTGTATCTTATGCCCCTTTTGCAGGCACATACCATCTGCCTAAGAATGTGGTTCTGTACAGTGTTAACATGTACAGAGTAAAAACAAAAGACTGAAAATTGCTCAGAAACATTGGTTGTTCAAATATTGTTAGCATATTTGGAGATACGATCATTTCACGTCTCCCAATTGATAAACAGGGTGCCTAGTCAAGGTCTTTACCCTTCAAATGTCAATAAATAGTGGTACAGGAAGTTATTGTGGTGGATTTCCAGTTCTATATTTAGTTTGAATATTTCCTACATGACAAAGGATTTAAGGCCAAAATATATTTTTAATAATCTTAATGAAAAAAACTATAATAATGAAATAATTATAAAACATAACTTAATAATAATAATAAAACATAAAGCAGTTTAACATATGTGCATGTATTCAGATCAGTTTATATACCAAATAGCTCTAGTGTTTTAACAGTCATTTATTTTTCCAAATCAAATGATATCATAGAAACAATTCTGCATAGCTGTCAAATCATGATCAGCTTTATTCAATAAAGAATGTGTTCTTAAGTTCTATATCTTAAGTTAAGCAACCAAACAGAAGTCACTCTGCTAAAGCTAAACCGGTGAAAGGTGGATTCTAATAGGTTGCTATGGGTTTCTGCACTTAAGAATTGTAACTTAAAATGAAATTCCAGCCAAATTTGTTTTTATTATTTTGGACATAGTGGGGAATAGCAAGAACCTCTCTCGGGTTTTTTGTTTGCTGTTTGTGTCCCTATTGGGAAGATTCGCCCTCACTCTTTGCCATGGTGACATTGGTCACTGGGATATAAGGTAAGGGGAAATTCAAAATATTACAATTGTTACTAGAACAGGAGATGAGGGAACTATTTTAAAGGGAAACCTGTTCAGTGACAGATGTCAAAGGGTAGTGTCTATCCAATTAAACAAAAAAATGGCTGGGGTTACACTTTAAGAATAAGAACTCTTTGTTGAGTAAGTCTGTATGTGTCATATCAGTGCTTTCATTCGAATAATTGCAGAGCCAATAATCAGAATCCATTAGCATCAGCTCATATGTTTAACTTTAGTTATTTAAGTCAAAGTCAAACTTATTTAATAAAGTGCTTACCTTTCAAAAAAATGAAGAGTGCTTGTTTGTTTTATTCTTCAGCACAAAAAAAGAACAGAATTCACTGTGCTGCAGCCAGACCTGTAGAAGATGGATTCTGATTAGTTGCTTTGGGTTACTGCACTTAAGAATACTTTGGGTTACTGCACTAAAGAATGACCATGTAAATGTAAAACCTTCTTTAATAAATAAGACCACATATGAACTATGTGTTTCATTACATTGAGTTCTTGTCTCTGAAGTACGGCATGCCATTATTTCACTATTCTGCTATCTGAATTGCTTGATTGTACTAATTTAGCCCATGGTTTAATTCACCAGGACCAGCATCTCACCATCAGCTCTGGGTGCCATAGCTTTGCTCATACATTTCCTCTACAATCTTCAGCCCTACAAAGTGATAACTTAATACCATCTCTGTTGTGGATGTAAACTGGACTTGGAATCATTTAAGTGAAGTTTTGTATGCACATAAGTTAAAAAAAATATTTTCATCTTCTATGGATTTTTATGAAGATAGAGTTCAGCTGATAGTGGTTGTCCTGCCAAGATCTGCAGGAATTTTGTCGCCATCATACTTTTAGATGAATTGTTGCTTGTTGTGGAATTCTGAAACTTTTGTGAATGACCTTTTGTTTGTAACTTGACTCTTTTTGTAATAGTACTGCTCAAAGTCCTCTCTTCTCTTTTACTTAGTTGGTGGTGTTTGTACTTGCTATTTGGTATATACGATTATTATAATTATTATTATTATTATTTGATGTGTTTATGTAACTTCCATCAAAAATAATAAAATATTTTAAAACATAATACTGAGTAATCCTTGACTCCTACACAAATGGGTATTTCAAAGAATTCAAAGAATCCTGTAACCATTTCAAGATGAGCTTGTAAGAGTTTTAGAAGATGCTTGTACTTGTTACAAAGGGTTATGGATTTTGTACTTGTTTATATTATTCTCCCACAGCTTTTTGGTATCTTAGGCATCTTTTACCCCTGTGCTAGCACAAAACTGGCATGCTACAATATAAATGTTAGTCTATATATTCTTCCTTTATGTATTGTCCTTTTTCATCCTGTAGAAATAGAATTTTAAAATACAACGTCAGTGATTGGTTGAACTGCCAGAATGGGCAAATTACTTCCCGATTTTACCAATGAAAGATAATAATGAAAATGTGGCAGGCCTTTTGCAGTCACCAAGCACCTACATATTAGTTAGGGTCTTACACCCATATAAATATGTTAATCTCTGGAAATAACTATATATAAGCAATAGCTTTTTATTGATAAACTGCATATAAATTAGTTTAAGCTTTTGACAATAGTGCAGGAAGGAAATATGCTGAATCAAGACAAGCAACCTCTCAGGTCTTCTCTGTCATCCTCAGATATAGAAATTTGATTTTTTTTGCTAGACCACAAGCAGCCACTGCTTCAGTGGTCTATTTTACTGTTATGGTTTTATGCTGTGCTTGTTTAGACCCTGAACTTAATGTCATCTCTTTGCTTTGTACACCTTGTATACATCCACAGGAATGCTATTAGAAAGTGTTAAAGAAAAATAAATGTGGGCACAAGCTGTCTTCCTCTTGTAATAGCTTTTTGTTATAGTTGAATGTGGGAATGTGCCCTGGGTTATGTCTAAAAAAAGTGATTACCGTATATACTCGAGTATAAGCCATCCCGAATATAAGCCGAGGTACCTAATTTTACCACAAAAACCTGGGAAAAAATAAAATAATATAAGCCTATGGTGGGAAATGAGGCAGCTACTGGTAAATGTACAAAATGAAGATAGATACCAATAAAATTACATGAATATTTATTTAAAAGAAAAACAATAACCTAGCTCTGTAAGTGGAAAAGGGGGTACAGGGCTACATATCATGTACTACGGATCATTTAACCCATTCATATTAGCAGAGGATAATTGTAAATCTATTGTTCAGT